GGAAACGACTCGATGGCACATAACAACAACAACAAGCCTCCAGTGTAAGAGAAAATAAGTGTCGGCATTGGTGGTTCAGTGGTAGCATTCTCCCCTCCCACGCGGGAGACCCGAGTTCGATTCCCGGCCAATGCAAAGGCGTGTGTTTCATTTACATTGCTCTTGAGCTCCTGCCTAACGGTAAATGGATTCAAGTGCACCCACAAACTCTAAATTTGGTTTCCCAGGCAACCAGGATAAGCTTCAGCTATATATAGGACATCTCTGCTGCAGAGAAGACGCTCTCTAAAGTAGGAAGAAGAACCCACTGTGCGAAGGACAGTGGATTTTGGAAGAAGCTAAAATTTGTTGCAATAGTAATAAACTCGGATAATTTTTCCAGAGGGTTTTTGGAGCCTGTAAACCGCATGGGAGAAGATGGACCATCTTTTCCCCTCTATAGCCTCTATGTTGGTGATTCAAATCAAAGTTCAAGAGACTGATTTATAACAAAGAACTCATTTATATAAAATGGGGGGACCTCAAGTGTGTGGAGTTTGAGACAAACTGTGTACTTTTTGTTAGGTGCCATCGAGTTGCCTACGGCTCCTAGCGACCCTGTGAACAACAGATTAAAACCTTGCCTTATCTTCCGCCATCCGCACCATCTCTGATATGCTCCAGTCAGTGTGTCAATCCATCTTGTAGAGAGGAGTCTTTTCTCTTTCTCTGACCCTCCTCCTTTTGCAGCATGATGCCCTTTACTAAGAACAGGCTTATCCTGAAACCGTGCAGATATTCTATGTGTCCCTGGTGGTCTAGTGGTTAGGATTCGGCGCCCTCACCGCCGCGGCCCGGGTTCGATTCCCGGTCAGGGAATAAAGGCGTTTTGGAGGGAGAAATACTGAAATCTTCTATAGGAAAAATCTTGAATGATGGTAGATAGTGTCATTATTGTCATGTTTACTGTTGTGCCGTGGACTCTACTGACACTCTTAGACCCTACTTAACCTGACCTACCCCCGTTATGCCAGTTACTGTGTCAGTCCACCTCATCCCGGGTCTTCCTCCCTTGGCGTGTCCCTCTACCCTTCAAAGCATGATGGCCTTCGCCAAAGACTAGTTTCTTGTCTCAACATGCCCAAAATATATGAGTCGGAGCTTCAAAATTCTTGCCTCCAAATAGCAATTTGGCTTGCATGCATGTTGTTGTTGCTGTTATGTGCCATCGAGTCGCTTGCGACTCATATCGACCCTATGTACAACAGCCCTAAACTCTGCTCTGTCTTGTGCCAATTGCACCGTCTCTGACACACCCATCCCGACTACCCTGATCACTGAATCAATCCACCTCATAGGGGGCCTTCCCCTTCTGCACTGTCCCTCCACCCTACCAAGCATGATGTCCTTCTCCAAGGACCTGTCCCTCCTTGCAACGTGTCCAAAGGATGTTAGACGGAGCCTCAGAATCCTTGCCTCCAAGGAGCAGCCCGGTTTGACCCTTTCCAGGATGAATCTGTTTGTTTTCTAGCAGTCCATGGTACCCTCAATACTCTTCTCCAGCACCAAAGCTCAAAGGCATCAATGCTCCTTCTATCCTCCTTAGTCATTGTCCAACTCTCTGATGCATAACAGGTGATAGCAAAGACCATGGCCTGTATCAGACGCACCTTGGTCTCCAAAGAGACACCATTATAAACTTGTTTATTTTCTTTGCAGCCCATAACACGTTCAATACTCTTCCCTAGTAGCCCAACTCAAAGGTATTGACTCTTCTTCTGTTATCTTTATTTGTTGTCCAGCTTTCTGATGTACAGCAGAATATTGTGAAGACCATGGCCTGGATCTGGTGCACCTTAGTCTCTAGACTGACATTGTTGCTCTTTAGCACTCTGGAGAGGTCTCTGACAGCAGATTTTGCCAATGCAATTTGTCTTTTGATTTCCTAACTGCTGGAGCCAAGGGTGTTTCTTGTGGAACAGAGTAAACTGAAATAGTTAACAATCTTTAATTGTCCCATTGAATTGATGAGAATCTTTGTTTTCTTGGTGTTGAGCTTCAATGGATATTGAAGACTGTAGTCCTTGACCAATGCTTCAGGTTCTCCTCAGTTTTGGCAAGCAAGGTTGTATCACCTTCATAGTGCAGTTTGTTGATGAGTCTTCTTCATTTCTGATGCCACATTCCTCCTCATCAAGCCCAGCCTCCTGATAATTTTTTCCACCTATAGACTAAAAAGGTATAGAGAAACGACACATCTCTGATGTATTCCTTTCCTGATTTTTAACAATGCAGTGTTTTCTTGCTCTGTTCTGATGACGGCTTCCCGGTCCAAATGTAGGTTTCCCATGAGCACAATCAAGTGTTCTGGGATTCCCATTCTTCTTCTTAGAGTTAGCCACAATTTGTTGTGATCCACACAGTCACACACCTTTGCATAGTCAATGAAACACACATTCTGAAGATAGATATTCTTCTGGCACTCTCTGCTTTCAGCCAAGATCCATCTGACATTGGCTAGTGATCTCCCTCATGCCACGGCCTCTTCTAAACCCAGAAGATAATTTTCCCCTTTCAAGCAGCTCTGTGTTCCATTTTAGTGGCTCTTGGTTTTAAGTCTCCTGTTGTGCCTGTAACAAAGAGGTGAAGTGAAAAGGTCTTACTAATGATCTTCGTAGTTGCAGCTCAGCTTCTTGCCGCTAGGCCACCAGAGCGCCTGACTAATGATCTTGAGGTGTTTCTTTCTTCACGTGCTTGCTGACCATCTGAATGTCTTCTTTTGTGAACAGGCTATTCATGTCCTCTGCCTGTATGTGACTGGTTTGTTTCTTCTGGTTGAGGTGTTGGAGTTTTCTATCCATTTTAGAAATGAATCCGTTGTCAGATATATCATTGCCAAATATTTTTTTCCAGTCTATAGGTTCTCTTTCCACTCTTTAAAAGTACATAAGGATTTCATTTTTAGGAGGAAGCTTAGCATTTTTATAGAATTCCTGTCTCCTATGTGCCTGGGATGGGGGTGTGTGGATTTCTGTTTAGGGGTGTTGATACTGGGAGAGGTGCTGGCTGAAGGTACTCTTGTCCAACCCCTGGTCAGTGTAACTCGGCTTTTCCAGGTTTTCTCTTTTAGATCTTTGAGAAGCTGGACTTTATGATTAAAAATATGACATCAGGATAGGAGGAAGTCACAACAACCTGCCTTTTGTAGATGATACAACCTTGCTTGCTGAAAATGAGGACCTAAAACACTTGCTGTAGTAGATCAAGGACTTCAATATGGATTACATTTCAAAATCAAGAAAACAAAACTCCTCAATCCTTGGCAATGTTCAACATCATGATAGACAGAAAAAGATTGAAATAGTCAATGATTTCATCTTCCTTGGATCAGAAATCAACACCTTTTGGTATCAGCAATCATGAAATCAAAAGCAGGGCATACTGGGAAAAGCTGCTGTCAAGCGCATTTCCAAAGTGCCAAAGAGCAAGGATGTCACTTTAAAGAGTAAGGTGCACTTGGTCTTTTTAATTATTTGCTACGGTTGGACAACATCTAAGGATGACAGAAGAAGTGATACCTTTAGTTGTAGTCTTGTATAAGAGTATTGAGTAGCCCATTGATTGCCAAAAGAACAAACAAGTCTTTGATAAGGTGTAACCTAGGTGTCCTGTGGAGGCAAGTATGTGGTTAAGTCTGGCTGGAGAGGTATTCACAAACCAATTTTTTTTGTTTGTTTGTTTACAAACCACCTTTTAAGAAAATCAAGGAACATCTAGAATTTATTTAGGAAAAACAAAAGTAAGGCAATCCCATATGTTTGGGATTTGAGATATATGGAAAAGGTTAAGTAAATAGTGTTATATTGAATTCCCAGTTCTCATTGCTGTGGAGTGGGAATTGACCCACAGCTGTTTCTCCAGCGGATTTTCAGAGGCTGTCAATCTCTTGAGAGATGGCCCGTGTTTTCCCCACGGTGTCTAACTGCCACACAGAATCAGCTTTCTGTTCCGTTTTATATCTGTTCTGTTCTCAATAGCTCCTTGTGGGAACCCCTCAGTCAATTCTGGCTCCTAGTGTTCATAGGTTTCCGAGATGCCCATCTTTCTTCTGCAAAGATGCTGGATTCGAAACAGCTTTTGATTTAGCGAGGATGAGAGAAAACAAGTCTGTGCATCACCTTAATCGCACTGCAAACACAAACTGAACGCTTTACCTTCTAAAAGGAAAACCACACCACGTCCCTGAGTGAACTTGAACCACCAACCTTTCCGTTAACAGCCGAACGCGCTAACCGATTGCACCACAGAGACCTCTTGTGATGTTGCCGTATAGCCGATACTCTAATCACAAGAACGAACACTCACACTTCTGCCACCACAATAGTACAGGTTCAGTTGCCTCGGAAAAGCCGAGCTATTTGATGTGGTGAACTGTCGTGTTCGTCACGTTGGAAATTTGGCCTTCGGATGGTTCCACAAGCGCAATGGTCTTATTCCCTTCCAGGCCTCAGAAGCCAGGGACCCCCGGAGATCTCGGGGTCCAAGACACCCCACCTAAGCCGAGCTGGGCCCAGACGCACTCTAGCTTCTCTGCACCGGCCTCTTTGAGGCCTTGCCCCCCGCCCTGCTCTCAGCTCCTCTTTGCTCTCTTCACGATTCCACTTTCTCGCCTTATCTTCTCTGCTCCCGCCTCGCCCGCCGCTAGTTGTCGAACAGGGAAGGAAGGGGGCGCTGCAGCAGCGGGGGGATCCTCGAGGGCGGAGCAAGTGGCAGGAAGCAGCGCGGCGGAGCGCGTTACAGTCGACACAACTCTGTCTCTGTGGCTCAATCGCTTAGCGCGTTCTACTGTTAGCTGAATTAATGGCAATTCGAGCCCACCCAGCACAAGTCTGATGCAGCCCGCAGGGAGTTATATCTATTTTGTTCTCAATAGTTTATTTGTATCAGAGATGATAGGGACGGACAAGATAGATTGTTTATAGGATCGCTGTGAATCTAGTCAGTGCGAACGCATTTTACAGTAATAATGAGCCCTTTCATTTAGGTCTCCCTTTTGGGCAGGAAAAGAACTCTGGTGTCGTGTTGGGCTGCTAATTGCAGAAAACTGGAACTTAGTCCGTGAGAGTCACTTGTGACAGGTATAAACCCTCCACCGG